AGAGACTCATAAATATATTACACCCCTCAGCAGAAGTTCCTGTTCAGAGCTCAGACAGAAGCTGAGTATTGATTAATATCCGTAACAGGATGAGAGTAGATATCTACAGCTGCTTGTTCGCCTTTGTTCTGGGCTGTAATGTCACTGCAGGTGAAGGGGTTTTCTTTATTTATCTTTACATACTTTAATAGTTTAAATCGTGCAATTGTTCTTCAACTGCTAAACTAGGATCCATTTCTAGTAGTTCACATTTGCTTGTTTAAGAAAAATTTTGAAAATCTTATACCATTGTTACTACAATTAAAATATTCCTGTTGCGCACTTTTTAAAACATAATTCAACAGTAATTACTTCATATAATATATTATGTTTTATAAAACATATATAGTCTGCAGTATTACTACTACTGTGAGGTCCTCTTGAGTCAGTGAAGTATTGTACAGGTGACTCCATAGATAGCTCAGTGTGGTCATCATCATCTTGACTCTGCTGGCTCCCAAAAATGGGCAAAGAGGTGGAGCTGATGTGGCTGAATGAAGCCAGGTTACTGAAACCCACCTGTCACTCAAAGCAGCCACTCCCTTAATTATATATAACTTTAACACTTAATATAATTTAAATGGGTGAGTTAGATAAAAATTCACAACCCTGTACCATAGCGGATTTTTTAACCAGGATGTAAACGTTGGACATTTTAATATGGGGCCTTACAGAGATTGACTCACTGCTAGAGCCTCTAGTGATCAGTCGAGGAACTGCAGTTTTTGGCACTTAGACCAGTTAACAAGGTGGTAATGCTTTGTAATGAGGCAGCCTTTATAAAGAGTTTAGTAATTACAGGGTATGATAACAGGAAATTATTTACTAATGATTTACTAGGCAGTCAGAAGATGCTTCATGTTTATAGAAAGTGTGTCTCTCTGTCAGCTCTTTACAGTATTGTATTTTGTACCAAGACAAATAGATGAATGCCTGAACATTGACTGTCACTGATGATGGGTGATGGTCCTGGATGGGTCAGGATTAATATGTTCTGGTTCTTACCAGATACTTCGACTTACCCATAGGGTGCGTACAGGATGGCAAGCTAATAAGGAGTGCAAATATGAACGTTACATTGAGAAAAACTAATACTTAAAAAATTTAAAGATAGTCAACCCTGTTAGTAGTGTTTTATGTTAGTATAAAATCACTTGGATGCGTCTCAGAGCAAGTATTTCAAGTTTTTTTATAACTTTTAATAAGAGTATTATATATATTTGTAGATTATTTTTGGGCATGACAGAAGGTTATTATTTGAAAAGATGTTTTGAAAGGGCTGTATCAAGCCAAAAGTATAAAATTTGCGCACCTGGTTTTCTCTCAATGAACTCAACTAATCTATACTAATATTTCTCGTTTACTCCTTGTTGAGCTGTAAATTGTGTTTGTGACATCCAGGCACTTAATATCACTGTAATCGGAAAAGGAGCAATAATTGATTCCTGTGTCATCATGGAGATTATCGCCAAGACTTTGTGTTAGCATAAACTATAACACCACCAAAGATGTACTGTAAGGTTTAAAAATTGGCTAAGATAGTACAACAAAGTGCAAAGGGGTGTTAAAAAAGTATTCAGTGATGAGCTGAAGAAAGCTGGCTATACAGATTGAAATGATTAAGAAAAGGACAATACACATTCTGTTAAAAAAAGTTCTTGTTGTGACTCAAGCTTTTTGAATCTCCTTTTAGGGCTCATTTGCTTAATGGGTAGGATTCAGGCAGGATGGTCGTAGGTGTCAGTGTTGGCCTAAACTTCAAACTGGTATCATCGTTACTCTGCTGGGCTCCAGCGGGAGAAGCGACGAAGAGAAGGAAGGTTCAAGAAAACGTAAGACACACGTGGAAGAGAAAAGTCCTTTGTCACTCAACGTCCAATAACCCACTCAATGTTGAATATTGTTGAAAAGGTCTCAAAAATGATAGGATTGAAATGTGATAGACATGGAGTGCAAGTTCGATTTAAGAAAGGACTTATCACCATATATCTGCTTCTGAATTTACTACTTTATATTGTTTGAAGCAGAGCAAGGATTGGAAATATTTACACGTTATATTTATAGCTAGGTGTTGATTTTTGAAGTCGTCCTTCGTACTGCTGAAACTCTGTCAGCAGGTAGAGTTATCCAGTCTGAGCTGATTCAGCAGAAGCTGTTTGAAGGGTCAATAAATATAATATTTTAAATTAGTGAGCTTCAAATGTGACCACAAAAGCATCATTAGTGGAATAAATTGAGACACGGATGATTCAATCAGTGATTCATATCAGCAACAAAATAACATACAAATTTGTGGATATTAAGTATCGATCAACAGGGATGTGTACAATTGCAAAAGTTCAACTATGTTCTAAATTTTTTACAAGTCTTAACAAACACTGATTCAATCATAGATTAGCAAACATAACAAGAGG